ACTTTGTGAGATTCCGTTGTGCTCGAGCGTCGCGAATAGCTTCTACCTTTTCTTTGGTTGGCCGAATACCAGTCGAGTCTATATGATAGCCTAGGTAGGTATTGCTGGCTGAGAAGAAAACGCACTTCTCCTTCTGTAAGCGGAGTCCGGCCTCTGACAGTCGTCGCAATACTTCTTTCGGACGTTCATCATGTTCTGTACTTGTTTTTCCCGTAATAAGGATGTCATCAAGGTAAAGAATCACACCTCTGATTCCTGACAGCAGCGTGTCGATAAAGCGTTGAAAAATGGCTACTGCAGGAGTTACCCCAAAAGCTAGCCGCCGCACGCGGTACAGGCCTCTATCCGTGTTTATGGTCATCAGATCCGCAGCTGCATCATCCACCCGGAGTTGTTGACACGCCTGAGTTAAATCAAATGTTGTAAAAAACACGCCTCCAGCTAAAGTGGATCGAATGTCATTGATCGTCGGAAGCGGGTACGTCTCATTTATCACAAACGGGTTGATAGTGCTACGGTAGTCACCGCAGAGGCGAAGCTTGCCGTTTCTTTTTAGGATTGGCACAATGGGTGTGGCCCATTGACAATGTCGAACAGACTCCAGTATCTTCTGATTCACTAAGTTTTCCAACTCCTCTTCGATGGCGGGCCGAAGAGCGAACGGAACGGGCCGACTCTTAAGAAACTTCGGCGTAGCATTTATTGCGATGGGTATTGATATAGGCTCACCGCCGGTGTGCTCCTTAGCCTCCTGCGAAAACGTCGGGGTAAAGCCCAGGCAAATTGAAACTGCGTAAAGAGTTGACTCCTGTGACATCAATGCCCAAACTTTCAAACCAATCACGTCCAAGGAGGCTGGCATGACCGCCATTGGCCACAAAAAGTGAAAGTGTGTGGGTGTGGCCTCGAAATCCTACTTCAACTTCTATTTTTCTCAGTACGGTGAGACACTGCTGTGTGCAGGTTTTAAGCAGATGGTTATCTTTCATCAACGCCGAAGGTGTCCTTACTCCGAGCGTGCTGTAAGTGGATTCACTGATATTAGATACGGCAGATCCATAGACCACTTCCATGGCAAGTGGAACTCCGTTCAGAGTAACCGTCACCATGTACGGCGACACCAGTTTTATTTTCAACTGCATACACGTCAAAGCGGGGTGGGGACATGTCGGCTTGGTCTCCTTGCACCACGTGTGTAGCATGAGATTCGTTCGACCTTGCCTGTAGACGTCGTCGTTGCTCTTTTTCCTTGGCCATGCAGACCTTCTCAATGTAGCCCAGCTTCTTACAGTAACGACAAAGCATGCTTTTGCATCGACATTTCGACGGTGAGTGCTGAACCTCACAGCGAAAACAAGATCTTAATGGCGAAGGTGTCTGAGGAGAGCCGCGCTGAACTGCGTTTACGATGGAGGAGTCAGAACCTGGTGCTTCAGCGTCTATGCAAGGCTGCACTCCGGGCTGCGCTGATCTTGATTGTAGCTCTAGTGTTGCTCGCGAGGCAGCCTCGGCAGCGGTAGCCAGCTCGAGAGCTGTTTGCAGGTCCACGTTTGTAGTAGACAGAAGCTTGTCCTGTAGCTTGGTGTCCCTCACACCACAAACAATCTGGTCGCAGATTATCTCGATGAGCATAGCATCATACTCGCAGGTCTTACCCAAGCGACGGAGTGCACTCACGTAGGCAGCAATGGTCTCGCTCTCATGTTGTTTTCGCTTGTGGAAACGGAAGCGTTGCAAGGTCTTCAGTGGTTTTGGGCAGTAATAATTCTCCATCCGCTCGAGGATGATCTCCTAGTCAGTTGCCGACGGTAGGGCTGGTGAACAGAGGTATCGCATTACCGAGTATGCCGCTGGTCCGCATTTTCCAATCAGCACTGCTCGCCGTAAGTCTGGTTCCTCTACACCGTGAATGACGAAGAGGCTGTTTAGGCGTTCGATGTACTCGATCCAAGCGTTTGGTGCTTTAGACTTGAACTTCTCGATGTTCACTTTGTGAGCCATGCCTGTGCCGTAGGTCCTTCAGTCTCGTCGCCAGTAAAACGTACTTGTTAAATAAAACGTAGCATTTATGTTGGACGTGGTAGTCCCGCTTCTACAGTTCTTTCAAAGAGCGTGCTCCTCGTCGTCGTCTATATGTGTGTGACTCTCGCACCCTTTTGTCCAGCACACCACACCCAGCACACCTCAGAGTCTACTCAATGAACTGAAGTGGTATCCGTGAATGGAAGACCATTCAAACTACAACGGCTAAACCAGCTGAACTACTAAATTTGGGGAGAAAGGAGTAAAGACAGGTGATCGCTGGACTACCAACTATTTAATAAAGATTCTTCGTTTTCCTCTCTTTGTCTACTGGCGTTGTGGCTACCTTCTCTTCTTTCTACTTGATTTTTCTGTTCCATCTCGGATACTGGTTTTCCGGAGGAATCTTTTTTCGCTTTCCTGTAGCGCAATAGATGGTGTACTAACGCAATTTTCTTCTTTATCTTCTATGGCCAAGGCCTCAAGTATTTCACGGGCGAGCTGGTCTTTGTGGTGAGCTAATATGGTACCCAGGTCGAGCTTGGCCTCGCACGTGCATGCTCGACAATGAGCGGCTAAATGCCCCGGCCCTGTTAGGGCTCTTATGTTTGCTGCATGCTCACGTGCTCGATCGTTCACGCACCTTCCCGTTTGTCCAATATACACACGCCCGCATGACAGTGGTATGTTATACACTACTCCCTTTTCGCATTGGACGTACTTATTCTTATGTTTGGTGTTGCAAGTGCTGGTGTTGTTGGCCTCACCTAGATTCACCTTCCGGCACATGGCATATCCCTTGTTTGGTGCCGAGCACACTACTTTGACGCCCTGCCTCGTGGCGATCTTTTTCAATCTATGTGTGACTCCATGAATATACGGAACCACCGCGAAAGGTGATCTAGGAACCTTTTTTTGTGAGTTAGAGTCATTCTTTTGGCTGGATTTCTTGATGTTTTGGCAGAGTTTTTCACAGATGGAGGCTAAGAAGGGTCTCGGATACCCGGCCTCATGGAGTCTGGAGATTTGGGTCTTGAAGCTTCGTCCCATCTGATGTGAACATGTTTTTCTGAGGCTAGCTGTGAGAGCTGTAATGGCGACTCCTTGCTTTACATTTTTCGAATGTTCTGAGTCAAAGGGAAGGAACCCTTTCCCCGATCGCGTTTCGTATCTCCAACAAACGTGTTCCTTTTGGAAGTCTAAGGCCAAATCCAGAAACCTGATAGACTTTTCAACGGGAAGCTCGTATGTAAAGGTGAGGCCCATGCAATTTGTTTGAAAATCCCTAAGAGTGGTGTTAAGGCATCCGTCTGATGTTTCATCAACTGGGGTGGTACATAAAATAAGAAAGTCATCAACATACCGAAAAATAACTGCAACTCGTGGTTCTTTCAAAGCTTGTTGTATAGCAACCCCGCAGGCGCCTAAAAAGACGTCGCACAAATATGGTGCCACTTTTGACCCGATGCACACTCCACTCTTCTGGACAAAGTGCTGATCTTGGTAAGTCACTACCGTTGCGGAGAGGTAAACCCTTAAAACCTCCAAGAAGGTGTCAACGCTAACACCTGCTCCATTTTGGAATTTCGCAAGGCCTTGATTTTCAATGGTATTTCTGAGGACATGCAACAGCCTTGCTTGAGGGATGGAGTAGTACATGTCCTGTACGTCCAAGGAAAACCCCGAGACTATACTATTTCCTTTTTCTTCAAGATAAGTTATTACTTGCTGTGAGTTGGGGATCCGGAATGGATCCTCTACGTGTATTTTTGAGAGGTGTTGTGCCAAAAACCTTGAAACGCATGCTTGCCACGTTGTCCTCTCGGAGACTATGGCCCGAAAAGGAATGCCTTCTTTGTGAGTTTTGGCGGAGAAAAACACCGAAAGCTGGCCATTTGCCGCTCCTTTGATCTTGGTGCAAAGGCTGGCTTGATTTTGGTCGAACAGGTTTATGATGGTTCTTTTTGCTGCTTTTGCCCGTTTATTTTCTACTTTTATGAAATTCTTATTGATCGCTTGTTGGGCCTTTTCTTCATAGATGTTTGAATCCAGAACCACAAAACCTCCTTCTTTATCCGAGACGCACAGTTTCAGGTCTTTGCTTCGCTACAGGAAAGCGAAAAAAGATTCCTCCGGAAAACCAGTATCCGAGATGGAACAGAAAAATCAAGTAGAAAGAAGAGAAGGTAGCCACAACGCCAGTAGACAAAGAGAGGAAAACGAAGAATCTTTATTAAATAGTTGGTAGTCCAGCGATCACCTGTCTTTACTCCTTTCTCCCCAAATTTAGTAGTTCAGCTGGTTTAGCCGTTGTGATATGTACCACCAACTAGCTCAGCTTCTACCCACCATTCAAACGTTTAAACCGAGCTTGTTAGGTTTGAAGGAAGACGAGGCATGCACGCGAGCGAATCGGCGGGATAAAATCATGAAGAAACAGACGATCACGAGCGAGGTCGAACGATATGCCACGCTCTGCTACAGCTCTCCGAGATAAAAAAACACCCGCCCTCAATTTGTGGTGCTGCGGCTCTTCACCACCAGCACGGATAGATCTAAGACCATAATATTAATATTATTAATATGCAATTAGTTCGCCTGAACATGACGACATTGTAACCCACTGTAGACGAGAAATTTAGCCAGTACAGTTTAACCGCTTGCTTGCGGTATTTAACTTGCATCACGCAGTAGTAATCAGGACCCAACGCCAGTACGATGCTCATCCAGGTCGAGACGGGCAGGGGTGGAGATTGAGGTCAGGGTCCCTGGGTTACGCAGCGCGATCTTTCGCACCACGTGTTCCGAGCTGATGTGCGCTAGCCCACTCGGCAACCGATCACACTCCCCCCCCCCCCCTAATAATAATCGTAATCATTAGTGACACTATATGAAGTTGTTGAGGCGAAGAAGAGAAGTCACCGCGGGGTGGCGCTGTTCCTGCCCCCCACCAAGCCCATGGCCCGCGCCAGGGTCCGATGTCATCGCAGCTGGGCAAGCCGGCACTGGCCAAGATCCAGCGAGAACTGCGCGAAATCAGTCGGGATCCGCCGACCAACTGCACCGCGGGACCCGTCGAGCCGGGTAACCTGTTCCTCTGGCAGGCCACCATCGTGGGACCGGACGACTCGCCCTTTGAGAAAGGCGAGCCTCTTTCTTCGCTCGGATTTAAAACGATTTTGAAAGCACTGTACTCCGGGATTCTCTCAATATTTACAAAAATCTCGGCAATGACTTCGGAACAATGGAGCCTAAGGCTTTATATACAGTGCGTTTCATGCACATGTCCGAGCGCAGGCGACGCTACCATTCGATGGAACCAATCGATCGGTGACAAAACGTGCATCGTCAGGGTCCTCGTCGTGTTTGTGTGTTTGCTACTATATCACCTGCTAAACTAACACGCAAATAAAACCGCGCGCAGCCTCGGCGTATTCCCTGCTTGTGATTGATTTAGCCGAGGATAGCGAACGCACAAAGGCGACGAGAAACATGACGCTACAGATTTGGCGCTGTTTTATTGGCTCCATTGTACCTTATCGCGGCTGCGCTCAAAGTCAATGTGAACCGAAGTATACAGGGTGCCCCCTTCCCCCCCCCCCCCCCCCCCCCCACCTCCCCTTTCAGGTAGTTTAGAGAGCTCGTTTTTTGTGTGTGTGTTTCACCGTAAAAATTAACTAAGCATTGGCCGAACACCCACTCTCCGCCCAAATCTGTAGCCCTACTGGTGCGAACTAGATGTCAAAGGTTCAGAACTCACCGTTATTTTGTTCGAAAGTTTTAAGCGATTTTCTAGAATTTTCAACGAGAAAATGGCAGCCTACGGAGCTCTCGAATACCTGGAGATAAATGACGCCATTTACCGCAAATGGGCGAAAGCCGAGCCCCTTTTTTTCCTATTTCAATTTTTAGAAAATTACTTATAATTGTCGGATGAGATACCGAATAGTTGTGATAATTATGTCACCTGACTCGGATCTCTAATGCTACATTTCGGCAGAGAATGGACGTTCGGCGATGCATAGTTTTTCCGTCGAAAAAAACACACACACACACAAAAAGCACTGTAGTATTTTTGGGAGGCACGCTGTAGTACACAGGTGGGCGTTTGTGTGTGATTGATCGACTGCCGCTCAACCGCTTCAGTCTGGTTTTGGGCTAGAGGAAAGAGCCGCGCAACAATATCGGGTAGGAATGTTCCTTACTTTACGCAAGCTTACGGGCACTATATATGCGTATCGCAAGTTAGTCTGCTTCTTTTGCACGATTTGTAGTGACGTCGGAACACCGAGCTCTGATTGGTTCCAATGGGGAGAAGAGTGGGTAGACCTCAAGGCAGCTTGCTCTGAGATCTAAAAACTATACTTCAATCAGAGCCAATCAAAGGTCGGCGTCCTGACGTCGCCACGACCCCTGAAAAAGAAGCAGACGAACGTGAGTTCCGCCTATTCCGTGTCACGATAACTTAGCGAAGAGTAGATGAAGAGGCCCATAAAGAGCGTCGGAGCAGAACACGTAACAACGCTCGATGGTCGACACGAGCGCTCCCGTATTGTGGCGTCACGTGTCTCGCTTCAACGCTCTTATTGATTAGTGGGGGCCTCAGACTCCACAATTTGCCAAGCTCTTATAAAACAGAATATGGACCTCTTCAAAAGTCGCTCTCAGCGCGCTGCCATCTTTGTCTGCTGGGCTGGGGAACTCCTTCTGGGAATTCACCGTTGGTCTTCTTGTACGGTACATCAGATGCCGCGAAATCGTCCAGAGCTTAGTGACTGAGCATTTTTCCCCTTGGTGACAAGCGATGCAAGGGTCTATAGATCTTTGCAAAGATCGCCTTCTGCGCGCTGCCATTTTTGTCTGCTGGGCTGGGGAACGCCTTCTGAGCATACGCTGTATCTCTGCTGTGAGGTATATCGAACCCCGAGCATGCGTCCACAGCTCAGTGATTCAGCATTTTTCATCCAGGTGATTAGCGATGCAAAGGCCTATTGTGGGTCAGTATACTCGCACACGACGTCACTCATCAAAACGCTTTTTGTTTTTTTTTGTGGCCGCATAATTTTAAGGATAAAGCGCACGTTTTCAATCAGTCTCTCGTTCGCAAAACGAAATGACGAAGCAGGAAAGACTGCATTGTTGACGTTTTCAACAATGCAATGCCCAGAATATTGGCAGCGAGCTTTTTGCGATCTCCACGGTAACGATGCTTAAACGCGGATCACACAGTGGTCACGAGCAGAGCATGAGCATTCAATTCGAGCTCGTGACAATCCGTGAGTCGACATGAACTCGCGAAGTGTCTTGTGCCTAATTACTGAGATGACGGGAACAACCTGATAGACCGATTTCACAGGCAGTTGCATTGCGCCACCTCAGCCGCCATGTCTTGTGTAGTCTTGACTATCTTGACTGCCATGCCTTGTGTAATCATTACTGTAGTCTCTCTTTACGCGCCACAATAGACCCTTTCCGGAATTCAGTCTGGCCACTTTGATCACTACCATGATCGTCTGAAAAATGGCATATGTGCTATACTAATGGCGGCCTTCTGCTTACTGATGTAGGAAGAAGTTGAAGATGATCCTAAGCAGATGATTCGAGGCCTATATGTTCTATGCATTAGCGCAAAGTGAAGCAGGAATTGGATTCAAGATCTGCGCACGCGTTCATTTCTAACTCAGGCCCAGTCAATCTGTTAGTGCACACACACGGCTTCAAAGCCTTTGATGTATAGAACTTTATCAAGGCGTCTATGTGGGTTGCCGCTTCGTTCTGACTGGTTGCATCTTTTTCGCCATTGACATTGAAAGAGATTGAAAAAAAGCGCATATTCTCGTTTACCGTTGACTTCCGAAATTGACGGCGTCCCATAATATACTGCAGACCACAGGTTCATTGCCGCCATTAGTACGGTAAAAGTTAAACTGCTGTTTCACTCACTAGATGGCACTGAATTCCGGAAAGGGTCTATAACGCCGAGGGTTTGCACGAGCAGAACACGAGACGGCATGAGCTGTCTCATGAAATGGCGCCTGCCTTCTATTAATTACAGTAACGGCGGCGTCACAAATGCTTGAAACGCTTATACTCGTTTTCACTTCAAGAACCGTAGTAAAAAAAGTCCGGCTCCACGCGGAACATTAGTGATTTCCCCTTTTATATAAATAATTAAGATATATGTAGGTGCATTTTTGTTATGTTATCTTATCGAGATGTACACGTTTCAAACACCAAAACCATCGCTTCTTCCTCCAACAACCACTCCTGTAAGAACTACTTCGCACGCCGTACGAACAATGCGCAGAACTTCCTTTTTATTTTCTTCAGGTGAAAGCATATAGTGAGATCGGTCTATTTTAACAATGCATGAAACTCAAAGCATCCCTTGTGTTTTGCGAAGCCCAGAGCGTGACTAGGATAATCACTGGCGGCAAATGATTTTCTCCAGATCACGTGTCACGTGGTGACTTGTTCTGGCTGCGAGTTGAGGGGGTGAACGCTTCTTGTTTCTCTAATTGTTTTTCTGCGACTGCCGTTGCTTGGAAGAAGAAAACTAACGCGTGCTTCATAGGTCATGAATCTTAAGGAATCATTCTAATTACGGTGTTCTAGAGAGTTGTAGTGGCAAGAGCGGCGGCCGCCTCGTGAAGATTTTGCGCGTAGACGACACCGTGGCACTGCTGTTCTGAGCCCTAGGAACGCGCCTCCGTCAGCCTCGTCGACGGCGCCACTCGGCGTGTACAACTGCGGTTTGACTGGAGCTTTTCGCGACGCAGAACAATTGCTAATGTAAAAAGTGTAGGTCTTCCTTTAGACTAACGCCTCTAGAGTGTGTGCTCTCGTTCACTTGGAATGTTCGCGTGTTTTCAGGGAGATTATTTGATTTGTGCTACGGCCTAGTAGCGCGCTTCCGTCAGCGCTGTCGTCGGCGCTGTTCAGCGCGTACTACTGAGGTTCGACTGGACCTTTTCGCGAAGCGGTACAATTGCTTATGTGAAGAATTGTAGGTCTGCCTTTGGACGAATGCCTTTAGAGATTGTGTTATCCTTTACTTTCAATTTTAGCGTGTTTTTGAGGGAGATTATTTTATTATTATCGACTCTCTCTGTCCACCCTCCAGCCCCTTCCCAGTACTTACAGGTCGTTCAGCAACGCTATCCCTTGGGCTCCAAGCTTAATAACTGTGAAAGAAACCTCGCGATACTGATAGAATAAGAGAAAATAGACTAATAAATCTCAATGAATCTGGCACTTTTTCAATGGTGAGGAAAACAATAAACTGTTTTTTTTTTTTGTTGTTATCGTGTTGCTGATGCGGGAACCAGCGTTGTGGAAGGTGCAAGGTCGAGCGCGTTTGGGAACAGCCAAGGTGCACTGCAACTGACGAACATATAGCAAATTTTCTTTTGTAGAAGGCAGTCTATGAAAAAGAAATACCTCGAATAGGAGTACATGAAGCATTAAAATGCAATAACATAATTTTCAACAGCCCCTAATATGAACAAAATATATATATATATTCTCAACACACTGGTTTATGAGCTCTCAAAAGTGGTAATACACTTCATCGACATACTCAGCAAGCACATGACAGATACCCAGCAACATACTACGCAAAAAGACTATAAAATAGCAAAAAGATATGGCGGCATAAAATCCTAACCTTTACGCCATTGACGATGTGCACATAGTCCCGAAGGTTAAGGCGCGGCTCAAAATGGCTCTCGCACACCGCTGATGTCTTGGCGAGGCGTTTACTTTCTCGTTTAAACTTTTGTTCGCACTGTAATCTTCGCAACTGCTCCTGTGGCGCACGAAACAGCGACGGCTTAATATCGCTGGTGCTCCGACTGCCCTTGTTGTCCGGGTAGCCCGACTTCCACCCCGCGCGAAGCAGTGTGTGTACGTCTTTTTCCTTAGATTCATGACCGAGACGGCAACAGAACAGTGAAGACTCCCTACCAGTCCACCACAAAGAAAAGTGCTACGGTGCTCCGTTCGGGAGAAGCGCACCGCCTAAAGCCTGATTCACATGGTGCGATTTTCTTCTGCGAAATCGGTGAAGCGATGAACCGCACATGCGAAATTTCGCGTTTCCTTTCACATTGATTGAGAACATATGCGATTTTTCGCACTTGCGA